CGGACGCGGTCGCGGCCGATTCGACGGCGAGTGTCACTATTGCCACAAGAGCGGACACATGTGGCGCGACTGCTACAAACTCCCTGATGGTTGGACCCCTGCTCAAGGCCAAGAGGGTAGAGGAGCAGGAGGAGGGAGAGGACGAGGCCGTGGAGGCCGTGGCGGTCGCGGTGGCGGAGCTGCAAACATGAAGAGCGGAGACAACGACAAGGACCCGAGCGACGATCGATACCCGGGTCTATTCTACTTCGTGTCGACGCAAGTACCGGCTGGTCCAGAGAAGGATGAAGGCTTTGAGGAGCCAGCAGCTGTGGGGAAGGTGACCCTACACCCCCTGGACTATTGGGTGATTGATAGTGGCGCTACCTATAGCATGACACCTCGCCCGGACTTGCTCACCGAACTCGAGCCGTCACCGGTGAAGCATGTCACATCGGCTTTGGGGCAGCGAGCAGAGGTGAAAGGCATGGGCAAGGCCATGTTCAAGGGTGCTGATGGGAAGATGGTGGGCCTCAAGAACGTGCTTTGGGTGCCCAGCCTTGCTGCAAACCTGATTTCCGTGCGGCGGTTGGCAAAGGCCGGCATGGACACGAACTCGAAGGGAGCCAAGACCTACACCGCAAGGCTTGGCGATCGAATTCTTTGGGACCTTCATGAGGACAGGGATGTCTACAACGAGATGTGGCAGATCGCAGTGGTCCCTATGCCTAAGGAGAGGCAAGTGGCAGCAAGCATCAGCACCAAGGATGGAGCGGTCGGTAGCGACGATGGCGCGAACGGTCGCGCTAAGGAGAATGAGCTCAAGAAGAGCAAACCTGGAGGGACCAGCAAGTTCAGTGAACCTAAGGAGAGTGGTGCAGCAACCAAGGAGCAGCAAAAGGGTGAGGAGAACCCAGAGGCAGCAGCGGAGGAGGACTACGGAGAGAGTATGTGGGGCGCAAATTCCGAGCGCGGCATTCTCCAATCCAACTTCGGCTACGAGGGAGTGTGATTGGCTCACCTTGCATTGGTGCATGGGGCATGTGGCCCTGCCCATCTTGCAGCAGCTAGTGAAGAATGAGATGGTTGCTGGCATACGTGTGAAGGGGGAGCCCGATGAGGTGCTTGGCTGCCCGACGTGCATTCAAGCCAAGTTCACCCGGTTTCCGTTCCCTAGTTCGGAGGCAACGGCAAAGGCACCGCTTGATGAGGTGGTGATGGACGTGGTGGGCCCCCTGAAGCTTGGAGCTGCTGGAGCTGAGTATTTTCTCACCATTGTCGACGTCTACACCCGCATGACTTGGGTGTACGTGCTGGCCAAGAAGAGCGACGTGGCTGAAACGTTGAAGACGGATTGGTTCCCGATGGTGGAGCGGCAACAAGACCGTCTAGTCAAGTCAATCCGCACCGATCGAGGGGGAGAGTTCCTGAGCAAGGAGTTTGGGTTGTGGCTGAAGAAGAATGGTATTCGGCACTCCCTCACCATGCCATACTCCCCTGCAATGAACGGCATCGCCGAGCGAGCGAACCGCACAATCACGGAGGCGGCACGCGGGTTGCTCATTGAAGCCGGGCTACCCGACTATTTCTGGCCTGATGCGGTGCGGAGCGCGTGTGTGGCCAAGAACAGAGCCTTGACTCATGTGGGAGCAGACAAATGGGTGCCCTATGTGGAGTGGCTAGGAAGGAAGCCAAAGGTGGATATGCTTCGGGTGTTCGGGTGCATGTGCATGGCGCTCGTGCCTAAGCATCTTCGGCACAACAAGCTTGGTGCCAAGGCGGTGTGGGCCGTGCACTTGGGCATGGCTCAAAACAGCAAGGGATGGTTTCTTTGGGACCCATTCACCAAGAAGTTCTTGGTGAGCAGGGACTGCAAGTTCATGGAGAACTTCATGTACAAGGATTGGAAGGCGGAGAATGAGGCGAAGATAGGCGTGCGGTTTGGGGAGGTGAAGAGTTCCGGTTTGGAGCATGTGGAGCTGCCTTTGGAGCTGAGCAGCGGCAGCACAACCACAAGGCAATCCTCCCTTGTGAATGGGGGAGAGGAGGCCAATGATGCAGAGGAAGAAGAGGAGGAGGTGCAGCAAGTGAGCGAGCGTGCACCGTCACTCCCTTCCCGTACTACGAGTGCTCCACGGATTCGAGCCACACCGCAGCAACGCCAAGGCCTTCAAGTCCCTGCAGCTGAGGAGGAAGGAAGGGGGAAGAGGAGAGTTCAACCCCCTAATAGGCTGACCTATGATGCGCCGGGAAAGCAGGGCAAGACAGCCCTGGCCGGAGCGGCAATGATGGTCGGAGACGACGAGGAGAGTGACTACGAGGAGTGTGCCTTCGCGTTCTTCTCTCCGGTGGAGATGCCGGGAGAACCAGCAACTCTCAAGGAGACTTTGGAGAGTAGTGATGCTGAGGAGTGGAAGAAGGCCATGGAGAGTGAGCTGAAGAGCATCGAGGAGAATGACACGTTTGAATTGGTGGAGCTACCGGAGGGGCGTACGGCGATAACGTCCAAGTGGCTCTTCAAAATCAAGTCGGATGCCGACGGCAAGATCGAGCGCTACAAGTCTAGGCTTGTAGCCAAGGGGTACCAGCAGAAGGAGAAGGTGGACTTCAAGGAGCTGTTTGCCCCTGTGGTGAAGCCGACGACGCTGCGAACCCTATTCGCGGGAGCCGCCATCAAAGGATGGGTAGTAAAGCAAATGGACATCATAACGGCATTCCTTAACGGCATCCTTGAGGAGGAGATTTTTATGGCGCAGCCAGAGGGGTTTGATGATGGTAGTGGCAGAGTGTGGAAGCTGAAAAAGGCCCTCTATGGGCTGAAGCAGGCCCCTAGGCAAATGGTACATGAAGCTGCGCGAAGTGTTGGAGGGGATCGGCTTCACTCCCTCAACGGCCGATCACTCCTTGTTCATGCTTGGCGAGGGGGAGCAGAGGAGTTTCATGGTGGTTTATGTGGATGACATCCTCATTTTCTCACCCTCTTCTGACCTTGTGAAGGAGGTGATGCTGAAGCTTCAAGACAAGTTCAAGTGCAAGGCCCTTGGTGACGTGAGCTTCTACCTTGGGCTCCACATCGAACGAGATGTGGAGAAGCGGTGCATGCGGGTGCATCAACGAAAGTACCTGGAGGCATTGGCTGCCAACTTTGGGCAGAGTGAAGGCCATGTGGCTACACCCTTTCCCTCTGGGTTCAAGTGTGTGAAGGGACCAGAGGAGGAGAGCGTTGGTGAAGAGGAGAGGCGCCGATTTCACTCGTTGGTGGGCAGCCTCATGTATGCGGCGGTAAACACCCGACCGGACGTCGCGTTTGCTACCGGGCAGCTGGCTAGGGTTGTGCAATGCCCTAATGAGGAGCAGGTAGCAGCTGGAATGAGGGTGGCCAAGTATCTTGGCCAAACACCGACCGTTGGGCTGCAATACTCGGCGGCGGCACAAAGGCGCCAAAAGGGCGCGGATGGTGTTGAACCCGGGCGTTTGTTCCTCACCGCCTACTCGGATGCTTCATATGCATCAGAACCAGAGGACATGACAAGTGTGGGAGGCTTCATATGCTGTGTTGGTGGAGGCCCAACTGCTTGGGAGAGCAAGAAGCAGGTTGACCAAGCTTTGAGCTCGGTGGAGTCCGAGTACATGGCACTCTTCCGTGCCGTACGGGAGATTGTGTGGCAGCGGCGTTTGTTGGCTGAATTGGGGGAGGAGCAGCAAGGACCTACCCCACTGTACTGTGACAGCCAGGGTGCCATTGCTCTTGCTAAGAACCCTGTGTTGCATGGACTCACGAAGCACATGAGGGTGAAGTGGCATTGGACGAGGAGCATTGTAACCGCGGGTGAAGTTGAGTTGCGCTACGTGAAGACCACGGGGCAGCCGGCTGACATGATGACCAAGAGGCTGGTGGAGCAGCAGCATTGGAAGTGTTGCAAGCTGGCTGGGATGGCTCTGAACTGAGAGAGCAACATATCCTAAGGCCAACAATCCGAGGGGGAGTTTGTTGGTGCAACCCTACGGTTTGCACTCGGCTTGTTGTCCGTGTGCGTGAATGTGTGTGTGTATGGAATGGTATGAGGGCATGGGATAATATATATTTCATGCTTATAATTGTGTGTGAATGTTGAGTCATGATGTCGAGTGTGTGTGTCGAGTCAATAGCGAGTTATCGCTAGACGCGTGTTACGCGGTCGTTTGTGTCTCGCGCGCGGTTTCTATTTTGTCGTGCGCAGTTTCTATTTTGTCCTGTGTCGAACGTTCGGCGTGTCGCAGGTGTGTGCAGCAGACCCATCAAGAACTCAAGGATGAGTTTGTGATGAAGAGCCCGAGCCTTGGTGTCAAGCCTCAAGTGATTTCGAAGCTTGCCAAAAGGGTACACCTCAAGATATTGAAGATAGTTACATTACTTTGTGTAGTGTAACATTTCACTTGGTGTAGGCCCTAGTGAAGGGTAGTTTCGAGACCCTTCGTGGTTGGGGACAGTGTGGCACTGTTCCACATCACTGTACCTCGGCTCTTGGGGTTTGTAGGAGCTGGGAGTCATTCCCAACTCGTAACTCTTCCTATCTTGTGTTCTAAGACTATAGTGGCTGCCATAGTACCGTTCGTTCAAACCGACGCTGTGTCGTCAATTCTTTATCAAATCGTGCAATCTAAATTGCTAATTGTAGACGACGTGAAGACGCTCCAGATCCAATTTGAATCAAGTCATTTGCAGCTGTGAGCAGAACGCTATCAACGTTTGAAGCCGCTGTGCAGAAATCCGTCTGTGCTCTCTATCTTTCGTTTTAGGCACATTCAAGCCTATTGTGACTATAACAGAAGGTGACATCCCGGTGCGCGCGGATACCGGCTCGCCGGCACTCACCAAGACGCAGCTGCGAGAGCAGATGTACCTGGAGGCGAGTATTAATTACGAGACGAAGTGGGCGGGATACTTTTCTTGGCTTGTGTTTGGGAAAACCAAGGACGGTTTCCCGTACGTGAAGTGCAGCATCTGCATGTCGTACGGTAAGGGGAACACGAGGTACGCCATGCAGGGAGACGACGGAGGCCGTGACTTGCAGACGCAGTCGTTCCGGGCGCACGAGCATACGGACGCACACATGGCGGCGGTGGACCGCCAGATGAAGATTGCGGCGGGAATCCGCGAGGGGCAGCAGGTGATTTCGGACTTCATCAACTCCGACGTCGAGGGCCGCCGCGCGATACGGCTGATGCGGTCGACTCAGTTCCTGTGCCAGTGCGACGCGCCGATTAGCATGTTTCCTAAGCTGATGCGGCATCTTGCGGAGCAGGACACGCCAGACATTCCCCGGCAGTCGTACGGCGTTTATCTCACGCGGTAAGTGACGGTTCAAATTGATTGCAAATTTAAACATGCACGTCAAACAACTTGCTTGACTATCGTGTACTGATAATTTCTCTGTCCTTTGTTGCAGCTACGGCTTCCAGCAGATGGTCCACAGCATGAGCACTTACCTCACCCGGGTGCAGATGGACCACGTCCTGGCATCACCGTTCCTGGGCATCCAGTGCGACGAGAGCACTGACCGCACGCGAGGGAAACACATGATTGTGTACCTTACATTTCTGAAGAACCGCCAAGTTGCATGCCAGTTTTTCACTTTGCTGACGGTCGAGCGGTGTGATGCAGGGTCCTTGTTTGAGGTGCTTCTGAACCATCTTTGCTCCGCTGCCGTCGATGTGTCCAAGATCGTCGGCATCAGCACGGACGGGGCGTCGGTCATGACCGGGAGAGAGAACGGATTGGTGGCGCGTCTTCGTGAACACGTCCCTCATCTGTTCTCATGCCACTGCATCGCCCATCGGTATGTGAGTTGGTCTGTATTGTAGCATGTTATCTACGCTGATTGGTTTACTAACAAACCATAATACTTGTTCCCTGCTTTTCACAGTGAGGCGTTGGCTGTGAAGGAAGCCGCTGACTCAAACCCGGATCTCGGCATGGTCGACAAGGTGGTGCGCACTGTGGCGACTCTGCTCGGAAACTCCCGCGTGTGGAGTCAGCGGTTCAAGTACCTGCAGCGTGTGATTTACAAGACCAACCTGGAAGTCCAAGGCATCCACACGGTGCGGTGGCTGTCTCGAGGAGATGCGGTGGCCAGGCTGTGCAAGGTCCTCGGCGCTTGCATCGTACTGCTCTGGGAGCACAATCACAAGGCGTACGAGATTGTCACCTGCTACAAGTTTCAGTTCTGCTTGTTTTTCTTGGCCGACATCTTGGCGGACATGAACGACCTCAACCGCTGCTTCCAGAGATGAGAGGTGAGGTCGCATGTTTGTATGATGTTGCTACGTGAGGTTCGTAACTGCACTGTTGCTCATCCTTCTCCCTCTTGTCTACCCCTGCTCTGACACAGCTGGACGTGACTGAGATTGCGAAGACGATCGAGTCCACAACGAGTGACCTGACGGAGCGCTACTTGACGCCAAAGAAAGCTTTCGGGGGCGAAGGGAAGAGCTGGCTGGTGAACTTCCTCAAAGTCCACAAGGAGGGTGGAGGCAAGCAGGTCCGGGTGCGCGGCGTGGACGGTGCTGGACGCCCGATCAACCACCTGTACACCATGCATGAGCGGAAGCTGAAGGGGCACAAACACGGAAGCACCTACGCAGACTGCGTGAAGCTGTTCCGCAAATTCGCCCGTGACTGCGTGGACAACCTCAACAGCCGACTGGATGACCTTGGGAAGCTGGGGCCGACGAAGCTGTTCCGGGCGGGGAAGTGGCCGAAGATCAAGGCCCAGCGAGAGAAGAAGTGTAAGGAGTGGCTGAACGGATGCAGCAGGCTGTTCCGCAACAAGCTGCCGGGATTCGACCTCAAAGCAGCAGAGAGGGAGCTTCCAACCTTCTGCGCGATCATGGAGGCACACCATGAGATGGAGAGCTTCACCCAGGGCCTGTCCAACTTCCTTGGGAGCGCAGACTCCAAGAGGTAGCCTATACTTTGCTAACATGGGTTTTACAATCTTGTTGCGCATCGCTAACTGTTTCCGTTGTGTTGTGTGTACGAATGTGCCTGGCAGGAGATGGCCCAACCTCATCCTGCTGTGGCAGGCGCTGGCTGTGCTCCCCCTCTCCACCGTGGAGTGCGAGAGGGGGTTATCCAGGCAGAACGTCATCAAGTCCTGGGTGCGAGGAGCGCTGTGCAACGCGCGTCTGGGGGAGCTGATGCAGATATCGCTCCTCAAGTATGAGATTGACTGGCCGGAGGCACTGGAGGTGTGGAGGTCCCTGCGGAGGAGGCGCCCTGCGAAGAGCTTGAAGCTGGCTGTGGCAGAGAGGGAGAGGAGGGGGAAGCAGAAGGAGGGTGAAGATGTGGCTGCTGGAAATGCCGGGGAGAATGAGGATGAGGAGGAGGACGATGAAGTGGAACAGGCCTTCGGCGACGATCAGGAGATCGTGGGGGAGGAGGAAGCAGAGGACAATCCATTCCTGTCGGACGATGAGGATGTGGAGGAGGTGTACTTCATAGACAAGCCCGTGCACTAGACTAGATAGAGTAGGAAAGTGCATGCAGTTGTATCATTTTGGAAAATAGTGCACTGTTAATAACAACCCTGTTTTTGAGCTGTGAACCCTGTCCGGTCAGAGTTGGACTTCGTGTGACACTGAGCTATCAGGGTAGCTACCTTGCGAAAAATGTGTCCTCATAATAGAGGGTCAAAATTTTTACTGGAATCAGGGAGTCCTAAAACGAAACGTCAGCCCTGTGTCTGCCCGACGGTCAAGATCCTTTCGTAACCATGCGACCCTTCGCGTCACTTCCGCCTTTTTGTCTTCAGCCTCGGTAGTGCGTGCTTCGTTTGCTACGGTAAGGAGTGCACAGTAATGCTTCGTCCATTACTAATCGTAACACCCCCCTTCACTCCTGGCCGTAGCGAGTATTGACTCGCTTGACTACTCCGCTGAGTTCGGAGCAGTGCTGATACTGCTGACGTGAGATTCGCTTCGTGAGGAAGTCGGCTGCCATGTCACCCGTCGGGCAGTAGGTTAGGTCAACCTTGCCCTTGCCAACTTCGTCCTTGACGAAGAAGTACCGCAGCGCGATGTGCTTGGTACGGTTGACGAATCCGGGTTTGTTCGCTATCCTGATCGCGCTCTGGTTGTCGCAGTGCAGGCGAAAGTTCGCCGAGGCTGGAATTTTCGCCTCCTGCAGTAGCTCCTGAAGGTAGAGGCCTTCACGAACGGTTGCTGTTGCTGCGATGAATTCGGCATATGCTGATGACAGGGCAACCAGGTCCTGTTTCTGCGAATTCCAGGAGATGGGACCGCTGGGCTCGAGGCGGAAAAGGAAGCCTGTCCTGGATCATCGATTGTCAGGGTGTGCGGCATGATCAGCGTCCACGTAGCCGATGAGATTAAAGGACGCGGTTGGGATGGTGGAGTAGCAGAGCCCAACATTGGGCATGGAGATGAAGAACTGGAGTGCCCGCTGAAGATCTAGCAGATTCTCAGCCGTTGGTTTGCGAGAGTACTGAGCCAACTGGCTCGCGATGTAGGAGAGATCGGGCCTGCAGGTAATAGAGGCGAAGTGTAGGCATACCAACTGCTGCCCAGCAGGGGACAGGGCTTTGTTGTCAGGCTTGTGGTTGGGTCCTGGAGTGCGGTAAGGGGTGGAGAGTGGTGCAGGTGCAATGTTGAAACGCTTGCCAAGTTCCTCTGCGTACTTGGCTGCTGAGAGATGAATGGCTTCTGGCGAGTAGGAGATGTTGAGGCCGAGGAAATGCTTCACGTCGTGGTTGCAGGTGATATCAACGCGCCCTGCGAGATTTTTCTCGAACTGCTCAAGTTGTTCGTTGCTCGATCCTGTGTAGAGGAGGTCGTCGACGTAGACCGTGAGTAGATTGTACTCGCCGCGGAAATCGTGGCGATACATGTCGGGATTGTGAGGCAGCATGTTATGCAGGATGTTATGCAGGTACTGTTGCCAGAGCCTTGGCGCCTGTTTGATGCCGTAGAGAGACTTTCGCAGCTGGCACACGTGTGAGTCTCCTTCGCCGTAAGTGTGCGGCTGCTCCACGTAGATTACAACATCTACTAACGCATAGAGGAATGCGTTCTTCACATCGATATGTCGGAGCGGGAGGTGTCGTGCAGCAGCGATTCTGACAGAGGTGTGACGGCTGACTGGCGCAAACGTCTGGTCAAAGTCGATGCCGTGCCTTTGGTCGTAGCCACGTACGACCCAGCGCGCCTTGTGTCAAACTTATATCTGCTATGGTCTATTTAGGCTGTAGTGGGGTAGCTCTTAGAGGGTACAACACTTATGTGTTTCCTATTTGTACCCATCTCATTCCTAGTTCATTCATTCTTTCGTCTATCATTCTCACATGGTATAGAGCTAGTTTCGAGATTTTTTAAAAAGGGCCCAACACTGAAAATTTTCACTGCCTGCTTGACGCGCGCGTCGCGCCTTCCCTTCGAGGCCCGTCGCGGCCCCTGCGCCTGCCCTTAGAGCCAGCGCCCGCCCCGTAAGGCCCCGTAAGGCCCCCGTTTTCCGGCCCAGTAAGGCCCCGTAAGGCCCCGTTAGGCCCCGTAAGGCCCCTTAAGGCCTCGTTTACGGCCCCGTTTAAGGCCCCGTAAGGCCCCGTAAGGCCCCATAAGGCCCCGTTTACGACCCGTTTAAGGCCCCGTAAGGCCCCGTAAGGTCCCGTAAGGCCCCGTAAGGCCCCGTAAGGCCCCGTTTACGGCCCCGTTTAAGGCCCCGTAAGGCCCCGTAAGGCCCCGTTTACGGCCCCGTTTAAGGCCCCGTACGGCCCCGTAAGGCCCCGTAAGGCCCCGTTAGGCCCCGTAAGGCCCCGTAAGGCCCCGTTTACGGCCCCGTTTAAGGCCCCGTAAGGCCCCATAAGGCCCTGTAAGGCCCCGTCAGGCTCCGTTTAAAGCCCCGTTAGGCCCCGTAAGGCCCTGCAAGGCCCCGTCAGGCCCCGTCAGGCCCCGTTTGCGGCCCCGTCAGGCCCCGTTAGGCCCCGTCAGGCCCCGTTAGAGGCCCCGTACGGCCCCGTCAGGACCCGTTAGCGGCCCCGTCCGGCCCTGCCCCGGCCCTACCCCAACCTGTCGCGGCCCTGCGCCGGCCCTGCTGTGGCCCTGTCGCAGCTCTGCCCCGACCCTGCTCCGGCACTGTTGCGGCCCTGCCCCGGCCCTCGCCCCGACCCTGTCTCGGCCCTGCCCCGGCCCTGCTCCTGCACTGCCGCGGCCCGGCCCCGGCCCTGCCCCGGACCTGTCGCGGCCCCGTCCCGGCCCTGCTCCGACCCTGCCCCGGCCCTGCCCAAGCCCTGCCCCGGCCCTGCCCCGGCCCTGCCCCGGCCCTGCACCCTGCCCCGGCCCTGCCCCGGCCCTGCCCCGGCCCTGCCCCGGCCCTGCCCCGGCCCTGCTCCGACCCTGCCCCGGCCCTGCCCAGGCCCTGCCCCGGCCCTGCCCCGGCTATGCCTCGGCCCTGCCCCTGCCCTGCTCCTGCACTGTCGCAGCCCTGCCCAACCCGACCCCGGATCTTTTGCGGCCCGGCCCCGGCCCTACCCCGGCCCTGCCCCGGCCTCGCCACTGGTAAGAGCGCCGCGCTGCCGAGCCGCGCCGCCCTGCCTAGCCTGCCCTGCCGAGTTGCACTGCTGCTGCTGCTAACCTGCTGCTGCTCCTGTCATGGCTAGTCTCAATGTTCTTACCTTTGATGCTGAGGGTCGAGCTGTTGACTTTGAGGTCTGGCTAGATGATCTGCAGCTTTTCCTTCAGTGTGATAGCAAGGATGGCCTCTCACTGTTCGATCTCACGTCTGGCGCCTCTACTGCCCCTGCTGCTGATGCTGACAGTACTGTTCGCTCGCAGTGGCTCACGCGCGATGCTGCTGCTCGTCTTGCTGTGCGTAATCACCTGCCGTCTACTGAGCGCGCGCACTTTAGTCAGTACAAGAGTGCTAGGGCTCTGTACGACGCTGTAGTTGCACGCTACTCCTCCCCTACCACTGCTGCCCTCAGCCGCCTCATGCTGCCGTACCTTTTTCCTGACCTTGCCGCCTTTGCCACAGTTGCTGACCTAGTTGCTCACCTCCGCACTAGTGACGCTCGCTACCGTGCTGCCCTTCCCACTGAGTTTCTTCCCACGAACCCCCCCCCCATGTACATCACCCTTTACTACCTAGTCACCCGCCTCCCTGACTCTCTCTCCTCAGTCAGGGATCACTTCCTCTCCCTTTGCCCCACCGAGCTCACTGTCGACTTGCTAGAGGAGCGCCTTGCTGCAGCTGAGAAGAGTATCTTAGCTGTCGGTGCTTCTCGCGGCGACCGTCGCACCCCCTTCTTTGAGGGGTGTTCCCCTGTCCCCCTTCTCCCCTCTGTTGCCTCTGCTGCTGCTGTCGACCTCGTTGGCACTGAGGAGGTCGGCACTGCGTCTACTGCCCCTAGTGGGCGACGCCGCACTGGCAAGGGCAAGGGAAGCAGGGGTGGTGGAGGGGGCGGTGGAGGCAGCGGTGGAGGAGGTGGAGGAGGTGGAGGTGGTGGTGGGAGTGGTTCCGGGAGTGGGGGCGTCGGTGGCGGCAGTGGAGGCCGTGGCGGCGGTGGCGGAGGAGGTGGCGGAGGAGGTGGTGCTGGTCGCGGTGCGGCCACGCAGCGTGGAGGCCTTGGTGGCAGCCAGCGTCAGCAGCAGCCGCGCACCCGTGAGACCCCGTCTGTTCAGCAGCTTCGTGAGTGGTACGCTGGGCGTGGGAGGTCTGGGGGTGCAGGTCCCTGCACGTACGTTCTTCGCACCGGCACTCGTAGTGGGGAGGTGTGTGGTCTCCCACACACCACGCAGCGCTGCTTCGGCCGCTTGACTGACGCCTGGCGTACCCAGTTTCCTGACGCTGGTGATCTTCCTCGTTGGCATGATCTGCTTCTGCAGAATGTGCCTATCTTTGATCTAGACTTTGATGCTATCCTTGCTGCCATGTATGCTCTTGCTGATATTACTGAGGGTGACTGTTACCTACGTGTCCCGCCCGGCCCGGGCACTGTGGCTGCTGCTCTAGGTGCTAGTGCGTCTGCTGCTCCAGGTGCTTGTGCGGCTGCTGCTCTAGGTGCTAGTGCGTCTGCTGCTCCAGGTGTTGGTACGTCTCCTCTCTCTGGTACTACACCTACTGCGTCCTTTCACACTTTCACACTTGACTCTGGTGCTTCGCGCTCTTTCTTTAGAGACAGCACCACGCTCACGCCGCTCAGTCGGCCTGTTGCGGTCTCCCTTGCTGACCCCTCAGGGGGCCCAGTACTTGCACACTCCTCCACTGTCCTACCGTGTCCTGCGGCCCCGTCGGGCTTGCTGTCGGGACTCCACCTCCCCTCGTTCTCTACGAACCTGGTGAGTGGAGCTGACCTCCAGGACGCGTGGGTTGACCAGTTCACCCCTGGAGGTCAGCGTGTGACCCACTGCACTTGCTCTCGGACGGGCCGTCACCTGGCCACGTCCACCCGTCGGCCAGGGTCGAGTCTGTACACACTGACTACTGCACCTCCTCCGGTCCCTGCGTC